GATAATGTTAACATTAGAAGAAGATTGACGACTAGCACAATCTTCCCCAAAGCCATATATATGTACTCCAAGGAATTGGTTTAGAGGTTCCATCGTTTTGAAACTTGGAGATTGTATTCAACACAACACAAGGAGCAAAGGAACAAAGATTGAAGGCCCTCACTTGAGTTAAAATTTTGTGAAAGCCTAGTGTTGTTCAAAGGTATAAAAAAATTGTCATTTCCTTCCTCTTTTCTTTAGGTTTAAATTTTGGTTCACCACTCACTAGGCCTTGAACATCATGGCCAATATATTGAATTTTTAAGTCCATTTAATCTAGTTTTTGCCTTTAATATTAATTTTTAGGCATGTGTTACTCAAATGATCTTCAAATAAACAAATTTGTTCCTTCATCTCAACCCTGGTGAGTTAAGTAGACTAGCCTACTGAAGAATGGCTAAATCAACAACTATTAGGCCTCAAGGCCCAAATCCTTCGCCAAGCTTTCCAGTAGACTACTTGGCCCACAAGCAAATGTCACTCCACATTTTAGAGGACTGGTCAATTACCTAGTCGCAGCTAAGGTTAAATGTTTTCCTACCCAACAATAGTAGATCTACAGAGGGACTTGGGAGATCCGAGGGCCCCTCGACGACCCTAAATTGCTACTAGAAATTTTCAGGGACCCCTCATACTCGAACACGAGGTCTGTGCAGTGCAGGTTGCAGGTTGCAGCGACATCTTCTTCTCGGAAAAGACAACCGTGTGCGAAGAAGAAAGAAAATCCCCTTTTAACAATTGCCCCAAAACGATAGTGTTTTGTCCAATGTTTTATTTATTTTTAAATCCCAGCCCCAACCCCACATCTTTTCCCATTATCCTACCCTCTTCTGCTTCCCCCAATGCCCAGCTTTAACATATTCACCCAAATTCCAATCCCTAACTCCCTAGATTTCAAAACCATAGTGTTTTGTCCAATGTTTTATTTATTTTTTAAATCCTAACCCCAACCCCATATATTTTCCCATTGTCCTACCCTCTTCTGCTTCCCCTAATGCCCAGCTTTAACATATTCACCCAAATTCCAATCCCCAACTCCCTAGATTTCAAAACCCTAAAATTCTAATTTTATTACTCCAATAGTATATCTCCACTTGTTCCAAATCTCTAGGCTACCACTATTTGGTTCACAATTTAAGTAAGTTTTTTGGTTTTCTAATCTAATCTCAATGAAATTATATTAGATATTGGAGATTTTTAGTCTATTATTGATATGATTGTTGATATGTTTTATGTTTATACTCATTTGATCATTAGAATTTAGATGGAATTGTTTATTGGTTAATTGGTACATGTTTTGTGTTTTTTGTTAAATGTGTAGTTTATAAATAAGAAATATGGAAAGATTTTTCAAGCCAAAGCCAATAGGACCATCTATTTGTTCCGGTAGTTCGAGCTCAAGACAAAATGAGTGTGACATTGATTTTAATAATCTTGAGAGAGACCTAGGAAAAAGAATTCGAATGAAGGACTATCCTCTTAATATTCAAGATGAGGTCCGAAGAGCATATTTGCAAATGGGACCTTGTAGGCCTTCAAAGCATGAGTTCCCATACACTTTGCATGCAAAGAAAAAGCGGCGATTTGTTGTTTTGTGGTTTGAAGAATATGATTGGTTGGAGTATAGTATATCTAAAGATGTGGCATTTTGTCTTCATTGGTATATCTTTAAAATCAACCTTTCACAATTAGAAAGTGATGTTTTCACTGGAGTAGGCTTTAAGAAATGAATGAATGCAAAAGAATGCTTTGACAAACATGTTGCTCCTATTGGTAGTGTCCACAGTAAAGCTAGAGAAGCAGCTAGTTATCTAATGAACCAAAAGACACATCTTGAAGCAGTTGTGATCAAACAATAAGAAGTGTATGAAATATCGTCGTTGCTTGAATGCATCACTAGATTGCATTAAGTTCTAGTTGCGACAAGGTCTTCCTTTTCGTGGCCACGATGAAAGTGACACTTCAAATAATAGGGGGAATTATTTAGAGCTCTTGCAATTCCTTACGGATCATGATGAGAAAATAAAGGAAGTTGTGTTAGAAAATGCTTCGGGAAATCTCAAGCTAATAGCTCTTTCAATTCAAAAATATATTGTCAATTCATGTGCTTTCGAAACCATTAAGGCTATTATGAAGGAAGTGAAAGAGAGTAAATTATTTTCTATATGGTAGATGAATCACATGACGTCTCAACAAAGGAGCAAATGACGGTGATTTTGCGTTATGTGGACAACAAAGGTCAAGTAATTGAAAGGTTCGTGAGAGTCCAACATGTTACTGAAACAACTTCAAGTAAACTAAAGGAGTCCATTGAAGAATTCTTGAAACTACATGATTTGAGCTACTCCAACCTACGAGGTCAAGGTTATAATGGCGAGAGTAATATGAAAGGTGATTTCAATGGCCTTAAAAAAAATTTGGATGAAGAAAGTTGTGCATTCTATGTTCATTGTTTTGCTCATCAACTACAATTAGTTCTTGTTTTCGTAGCAAAGAAAAACTTCGATGTTGCCATTTTTTCACTTTGACTAATAGTTTGGTGAATGTTGTTGGATGCTCATGTAAGCATCGTGATGCACTTAAAGAGAAACAACAGAAAATCTCATGAAAGCTATTGAAAATGAGTGTCTTGAAACGGAGTAAGGATTAAATCAAGAAACTAGTCTCAAATGTGCTACGGATGCACGATGAAATTCACATTATGGTACTTTGATTAGTTTGATTACAATGTTCTCATATGTGGTGGATGTGTTTGACATGATTGTTGAAGACTCCTACAATGATAGTGTTGGTGAAGCAAAAAGGTTATTAAAAGATATACAATCTTTTGAGTTTGTGTTTCTCCTCTTTTTGATGAAATCCATATTGGGAGTTACTGATGATTTGTCCCAAGCATTGCAAAAGAAAGATCAAGAGATTGTGAATGCAATGGCTTTAGTCAAGACATGTAAAGAACAACTACGTTGCATGAGGAATGATGAAAATTTTGATCTTTTGGTTGATAAAGTATCATCTTTTTGTGTCGAACATGAAATTGAGGTACCTAATATGGATGATTCATATGTCATTCAATGGAAGTTATTATGTAAGGCTCCAAGAAAAATCAATCATCATCATTACAAAGTGGAACTCTTTTTTTAGGTCATTGATTTCCAACTTACAGAATTAGATGATCGCTTCACTGAAGGTAACACTAAATTGCTTATTTGCTCGGCATGTTTGAGTCTGAATGATTCATTTGTAGCTTTTGATAAAGAAAAGCTTGTTTGCCTTGCTCAGTTGTATCCTAAAGATTTCACGGATCCAGATAGATCGGCACTTGAAGATCAACTTGACATTTATACTCATTTTATGCGTTCTAATAATGATTTTCTCAATTGTGAGGGGTTGATGATCTTGCTACGAAAATGGTGGAGAAAGGGTTGCATCAAATATTTGTGTCATATCTCAGTCCGTATAGTAAAATATTGTCCACTTTGGGCCATACCCTCACGAAATTGTTCTTGGGCTTCCACCCAAAACGCGTCTCTTTATAGGGAGGTAGACATGTACATATAAGACACATCACCTCCCCTTCCCCGGGCGATGTGAGATCTTACAATCCACCCCTTTAAGGGCCCAACGTGCTCGTCAGCACACTTTCGGCCGAGGAGTGGCTCTGATACCAAATTGTCATATTGCAGTCCGCATAGTAAGATATTGTCCGCTTTGGGCCACTCATTCACGGATTTGTTCTTGGGCTTTCACCCAAAACGTGTCTCATTATATGGAGGTGGGCATGTACATATAAGGCACATCACCTCCCCTCCCTCAGGCGATGTGGGATCTTACAATCTGCAATGTTGTTTTGCGTATGATTTTTGAATGAAATGTATGATATTTAACTTTTCAATGTTATGTTTATCTATAATTTTTTTGACCTTTTTAATGAGACCCACCGAGTTTAAAATCGTAGATCCGCCATTGCTACCTGACTCCATGTTTTGAGACTAGCTCTTACTTGTCCGAGTCTAGGATCAAGTTCATGACCTCTAAATGTTTTATGCAAGAAATCTACCAATGGAATACCCCTCTACCAGTAGGGATATTGTTCTTCTTGCTGACATGCCTAGTCCTAATTTAGCAGACGACTGAAGGACTTCTCCCTTTTAAATATCCAAGTCATTAAAAGAAATTTGCAATTCAGAACTCTTTAAGGTACTTTGGAAAACATCACACTAGTGTTAGTTAATTGATCTTCGTGTTATCTTCTTTGAAAGTTTTCAGATGGTATCCGTTTTGACAATAATTTGCTTCCACAATATGGATTCATCAACTCACTAGGTTAGTGATCTTGAAAGGCATTTAGTTTGTTTAGCAAATGGTTTTTAAAGCTTTCATTGCCATATGGAGAATAGAAATTGAGAACCAGACTGACCTGAACCGGTTAGGTTTTTTTTTAACAAACTAAGGGGTGGGGAGTGGGCTGAAATTCATAATAAGTTAGCAATAATGTGGTTCAAATTCGCCTTTGGTGAGAATCGAACCTAAAACCTCTTACTTACAAATAAAGAGGAATATCACTAAACCGTAATACTAAGTGACATGTGTTTGACTAGGTTGGTCAGCCAAATTGTTTTCATTTGGTTTTTCGGTTTCCCCATCCCTACATGCAATTTTACTCAATTTTTACAAAAACAGGGCTGTGCTTAACAAATAAAAACTTGGAATGTTGAGTGTGGGCTTGAAGTTTCAATCACTCTTTTGGGCCTCTAATGTATAAAAAGAGCCCATCAGCCCAACCAAACCGATTTGATGAAACCAACGGTTGAGATCAAACCAACAGGATCCTCTCCGGATCATTTGGTGAAAATTTTAAAGATTTGTGTATCGTGTTTGTTCATTGTACATCATGCTTTTATCACGTACTGTTTATGTTTATTTTAAAATAATTTTTAAGTTTAAGATATAACAAACACAATTCATAGATTTCGATCCTTACAAAGAGGATCTGATGAGGATCCGGACTCGAGATCGAAAGGCAGTGAGCATCCCCACGTACACGATGACGCTTTATTTCGGTGACGCGAAGCAGAGGGAAAACTAGGGGGATCGAAATTTGTGGCGGCCCCGCGAGAAAGCTCGCCTAAAATCAAAACCAAAAGATCAGCGAAAGGAAACTCAGAAGCAGCGACAAAGAATCGATAAAAAATTCAAAAAATGGTGCTATGGGAGATCACATTAGCCACCGCCTATTTCTTAGGGCTCCGTCGCACTTACAGACTCGCCCTCAAGATTCAGCGCCGCCTCATCGGCCCTAACCACCCTAAGATCCGTGAATTTGCTCACAGGTATTTCTATTTCCTTTTTTTTTTAATTAGTTTTTACTTTTGAAATATTGTGATTTCTATCAATCATTAAAATTGATAAAGACTTGTAATACATGTGATTTTTGTATTATTTTCTTTAAAAATTGATTAGAAAAAGTTGTATGTGATTTCGCTAGTTACAGCTTTCAATCTTCTTTGCGTCGCCACTTCTGTAATTAGCAACAGGTTTAGCTTCGTAGAACTGGTGCTTATATCCTGAATCAATTCTGAGCAGCTCTGCATGCTTCCCTGATTTTGCTAATTACTTGAGAAGCATGTCCTGTCCAATTGTTCCCGAAACATATGAAATTCTGGCTTGTGCATCGATGGTGTAAGACACTCCTTAATTATAATCAAATAAAAATTAATTAATTAAACAACATCATAGTTAATTCTTCGGACCAATGTCCTTGAGGCCTCTGCTCCTTTCCCATGGCATACATGACAATCACCACAAGATCCTTTCCATCATTAAACCCGTCCTTGATCTGGGTAAGTAGACTGTCATCAGTGAGAAGCCTCAGATCATCCTTGGTGTTTACATTGTCAGTCAAAAGACTCAATGGTGGCGGCGGAGGAAGCTTGGTTGTTGAGTGTGGAGCCATGGGTAATGGGTTAATGGAGAATCAACTGAATATATATATATATTTTTTTTGGCTTAAATCCTAACGGACTTCACCAAAAGCGTTTAAATCCATATTTTTTTTTTACCACGGGGGTTACCTTCCAACTACCACATTACCACGAGGACCATTTATTCAATTAGGCCATCTTATTATGTCATGAAATTAGCTGTGAATGGGCAGTGATTTATTTCTCTATTGTTTCAGACCTCAGTGATGGATTCATTGCTGTTGGGCAAGTCAGTAAAGCATTGCTTATTTTACAACGAACTGTTTTATGAACCGAATAATAGGATATGGGGGCGTTCTGCCATCCATTTTTTGTTGCATCGAACTCTTCAAGGTTGCTAACATCTTTGAAGCCTGCATAGTATTTATTTGATACTATCAATTTTCATATAATGCAGCTTTCCCACCTTTGATCAGTGTTTTTTTTATCCATTAGGCAAAAAGATTTGATAAGCGTTTGGTTATCCTGGATGGTTAATTTGAGTAGTTGGCACAAACACACTACTCACCAGTAGATATTTAGTGTTAGAGACTTGATCAGTGCGGTGTTTAGTTAGCAGTAGGATTTGTGGTTATTGATCAGTGATGTTTTTTTGTTGCTACTGTTGAGTTTCTTTTCTTACTTGCTGTGATATTGCAAGGGTGGTGCTATCCACTCATTTTTACCTCTCACACACCCCTCTCAATTTCCGACAGTCAGATCGGGTGAATTGAAGAAGATCAATGGACAAAAATTAACAAGGGTTCGTGGGAGGTAAAAAAGAGGTGTGTGAATAGCACTACCCTGTTGCAATAGTTGTTTGCTAAATAATGACTGCTTGTCATTTTTGCTATTAGTTTATAACTGCTGCAGCCACTGTGTTTTTCTTTCTTTCAAAGGAGAACACGTGCTGTGTTTGATGTAGCTGTCAAGGTTCACAAGAACATACAGGAACGAGACATAGAAGTTGGTAGAAATCTTGGTAACCAGATCCTGCGTTGGCTCGATCGGATGAAACCTGAAGCTGAGATTCGGGGTCCCTTGGACAAACCTCCCGCTGGTTCTAACTCTAGCACGAGTATTACAAAGCAGGTGGACTCCTCCCAGCTCAAAACTCCTGGAAGCACCCAGATAACCAGAAATCAGGAATCTGACAGACATATGTTTTCAACAATGACAAATATGTGGTCTAAACCGTTGCCTCCAATTACAATGATGATGAGATCACGGAAACCTTCGGGGAATATGACCCACTACCGCCACTTATGCATGAACGCACCTCAAGCATTAAGATCGAACAACAGTACGGGGGGGTTTGGAGGAGTTATACGAAAGGACATAATGCAGTGGATGCTGCAAAAATGATGGAAACGATGTACTTCCCCTTTGTGTTTTCGTAGACGCCAAACAATCTTGAGATGGGATTAAGGAGCGAAAGGTTTTGAGGATGTGATACGGTTCCTCTGAAGTTGATCGGACTGTTGTCTCTTCAAAATCTGCTTTCAGATAATTTTTTGGTCTTTCTTTTTTCTGAAACAAACTACAAGATACTCTTTGTTTTGGTTGTTGTTCCTTGTTCTCTTTGTTTGTTTTTCGGGATAGGTGGTATCATCGAGTGACACGATGAGATGATTTTGTAATTAAATAAAGGAGAAGTTAATCAATGAATGTTGCTCTGCAATAAGTTCTGACCATAGTCAGCTCAGCTAGTTCTCATTTTCTTGTTATATTTGTTGATTAATTGGCCCGACGGACGACATTATTTTCTTGTTAGAGTTTATTTTCTAAGCTTTAGGATTGAAGCTCGGAAAGCCTAACCCTGAACTTTAAAAGGGTACGTTTGGTGCACAAGACATGACTCAATTCGAACTTTTTTTGTATCCGATTGGGATGGACAAGATAGAATAATTCATATCTAATGTGCATCTTTAACCGATGTCTCCAAATGTCACGTGTAGTTTTAACGGTAACTTTTGACATCACAAAGTGCTCCTACCAAAGAATTAATTTTGACTAGGATTTGAAGGTAAGAAGAAAGAATCACGGCGCCATTTTGTCAGCAACCAAGAGCACCTCTAATATAGATGTCAAAAGATAAACGTCATATGTTAATTTGATAGCTAACATGGCAATATCAAATTTTCTCTTCCTCCAACCCATGTGTTTTTTTGTTATAAATGATACTAGGACCCATTTTAAAAAAGAAATCAATTAAAATAAAATTTTAATATCTATAATTGGTGCATTAGTGAGACCTACACAATAAAATAATTAAAAATTATTTGACATCACATTTTCTCATATGTCAAATTTGACATATGGAAATTCATATGGCAATCCACGTAAGATTGACATATATGTTGGAGTTTATTCCTGCCTTCAACTTTAATTGTACATTCTGCGTAAGATTTGACATTTTATTTGGAGATGGTCTAAGGTGGTCGTCAACTCCTATCTATATTTATTATGTTAAGATTGATTTTAGTGATGTCCCACAATTTCTTGAATACGCGTGCCTTCAAAACTTTAATATTAAATGACTTATACATCTTGATATGAAATGGGAGAAGGATTCTTTCCTCTCTTTTTTTTCCTCCCCCTCTAATTTGAACGGTCATGATTAAGCCACGTTAACATCTTATATTAATTTTTTTTTATAGAAAAAGAAAGGCAAAATAGAGAATGTAAGAGGAGGGGATGGAAGAGGATGGAAAGAGGAGGGGAGAGAATCCTAGTCCATTAAAGCACAAGCTGTTTTGCTTGTTCGAAATTTCACAGATATAACAAAGAAATGGTTGCATGAGTAGAAAAGAGCATGCAAAAATTACTTGTCAAATATCGTGTGATGTGCCACTTAGTACTACAGTTTAATGGTATTCTTTTTTATTTGTAAGTGAGAAATTTTAAGTTCGATTTTCGCTAAAGGCGAATTTGAACTACATTATTACAAGCTTAATGTGAAGTTAACTCTACTTTTCTCTCTTAGTGTAAATAATACTAGCATTTGCCTACACACTTTGTGTGTATGAACACATTTTTTTTAGAAAATGTGAAGGAGAGAGAGAGAGAGAGAGAGATCGGGGGGGGGAGTGGGAGGTTTTTGTTTTCAATTTTTATTTTTTAAATATATTTTTTAATATTGGAGGTATTTTAACATCATCTGTAGGTGATGCTTCAATAAAAAATAATAAAATTTGGACCTATGAAATTACATTATTGCCCATCATTTTTTTGTGTAATAGAAGACTAATTTGTCTTTTCACCATCTTTTGATTGACAAAGAGGATTTAATTAATTAGTAAAGATTATTTGGTCGGAAAAAAGAAAAAGAAAATATAGGGGTGATGTATGTAGCAAGTTTGAGGTGGGCCGTGGGCCTAGGAGATTTTGGGCCGAAAGGTGAAGTAAAGAAAATGAAAAATTGAGGGCTGTAGGATGGCAAATTGGCCATGGCATCTGTGTGAAGGGTTTCCCCGGTGTCTCGTGAGCTCAGTCGTATCCTCCCTCTCCCCAATTTACAGGTTTGCCTTTTCTTCTTCGTTTGTAACTCGTGTTTAATTTAGGGATTTAAGAATTAAGCTTTTTCGTTTATTGATGTCTAATTTAGGGATTTAGGAACTCAGGAATTCAATTCATCTCTAATTTCGCCAAATTAATGTTGGTTGATTATGCAATTGAGCGTTTGCCCTGGAATGAGAACCTTGGTTGTTTTGTTAATTGCTTTTTTAATTTTTCCTCAGAATTTTATGCAATCCTGTCGCTTTCTTTCATGTTCCTCATATCATGGTATGAAAGATCTAAAGATTGTTAGAGTTGGAGTTATGAATCTCTTGTTTATCTGGAATATTAGTGTTTATGGAGATTGTGAATTACTACTGCTTATGGCGATACTGATACTGTAAAATCTACCCTCCATTGGGGTTCCAATACTCGTTTTCAAGTTGGTTTATCGGCGGATATAAATATCATGTTATTGTTTGTTGAAACTTGGAAGTGTTTTCTACTTTTAAGAAGATGCCAATTCTGGACGGATATGAATGCGATGCAATTGGTTATTAAGAGTGTTTTCTACTTGATAAGAAGATGGCGATTCTCGTTTTCTTTTTAATTGCAGGTAGCAGAAGCCACAAACATCATCACAATGGAATTGGCGGACAAGGCCGTTGGATTTCTGTTATCCTACATCAGTTTGTCGATATTCACCTATTACACATTTTGGGTCATTATCCTGGTCAGTTGTACTTCTTCTCTCAAATCGAATGCTTTATTGCTTCCTACACTTGATTAACCTGTCTGATGCCGTCTGTTGTTGATATACTCAGCCGTTTGTAAACAACGATCACTTCATCCACCGGTATTTCCTCCCACAAGAGTATGCCATACTATTACCTGTATTTGCTGGCATGGTGCTTCTCTGCTTTTTGTGCATTTTCATTGGATATGTCATGTTAAAATCCAAGAAGAAGAAAGCATGATTTATTTCTTTGGAGGCGAATCCAAGTGTTAAATCCTTATAGTCATCGTCTTACATTAAGGTATTGTTTGGTGTCTTGGATCGGAGTGGAATCGATAACCCACAATGTTTCACGTATGTTGAAGGGGGTAGTGATTTCGGAATGTTTCATAGATCGTTGCGATGATAGCTTGTGAAAGCTGAGTTACATAATACTGTTTTCTAAGGATGTCATATTTCATATGTTGCAATTTGAGCATCTCAGAGACGCCCTCGTGTATTTGTTTACATTAATCAGAAAAAGGAAAAAGAACAATCGATTTACAATCGCTCTGAAGCGGCGAAATATCATCTCCTTTTGTTATGGGAATTCTTATATTTTTTGTTTATTTGATTGTAAAGAAATAACTATGAAATAAAATTTACTCAAAAAAATTGAGGTTTCTTTATTTTTTAAATTAATAAAACTAATGAAAAAAACTTGAAAACATTGAATTTTAATCAAAGGCAATCTAATTGAGTTGTTATCACGAAATAATCCTTTAAATTTACCCACACCTTCAAGATGGTTCCTGAAATTGAAAATCGATCAATATAGTCCATGAAATATAGGGGTGGGTTCTGTACGATTACCGTACCAAAACTCTCGTACCAATTACCGTACCAAACTTTCGGTTTGGCAAAATATAATACCATTACTGTACCAAACTTTCGGTACACTGAAGTTCGGCATTGTCAAATAGTTCGGTTGACATGGTATGACAATGGTAATTGCCACTTTGATTTGGGACAATCTGTTTTTGTTTTTTAACCCAATTCAAGGGCAAAACTTTGTTTTTTGGTACCTTTATCTCATACATTGTAGCCTAAATTAATCTATTATTCATCATTCACAATTCACACACACAATAATTCAAATGATGGATTAAGATTCATGATGGAAATTAAGCTTACAATCCAAATAGAAGTTACGAACTAAAACAAATAGAAGTTAACAATCCAAATAGAAGTTAAAGTTTCAAACCAAATGAAATTGTAACTAAACTTCAAAAAGTGAAATTCATTGATCAATTCTTCAATCTAGAGAGGCCAAAGCTTTTGGAGGAGGCATTGAATTTGTAGATGATTGAGCTTGTGTCAAGCCTACATTACAAACAAAGAAAACATATTTATAGCAAAAAGAATTAAAGTTGAAAACCATTTAATAACAAATTTACTAAAAAAAAATTAAAGCATATCTTACTTGATTTCACTTCTTCCATTCCTTGTAAAATTGAAGCATATCTTATGTTGGTTCCTTGTGGAAGTTTATTTCATTCGCCCTAAGCCAATCACTAGTATATACTAGAGCCTCTACCATTTTAGGACAATCGATTTACAATCGTTCTGTAGCGTCGAAATATCATCTCCTTTTGTTATGGGAATTCTTATATTTTTAGTTGAGTTGTTTGTAAAGAAATAACTATGAAATGAAATTTACTAAAAAAGATTGAAGATTTTTTTATTAAGAAAACAAATGAAAGTGACTTGAAAACATTAAATTTTAACCAAAGACAATCTAATAAAAGGTCGTACCCAGTGCACAAGGCCCCCGCTTTACGCAGGGTCTGGGAGAGGTGAATGTCGGCTAGCCTTACCCCCATTTATGGAGAGGCTGCTCCCAAGTCTCGAACCCGAGACCTACCGCTCATGGGCGAAGGCACTTGCCATCACACCAAGTGCGACCTCTAACCAAAGACAATCTAATAATTTTATTTAATTATTAGGACAAAAAAATGGAATAAAAATTGAGTTTTTATCACAAAATAGTCCTTTAAATTTACCCACACTTTCAAGATGGTTTCTGAAATTGAAAATTGATCAATATAGTCCATGAAATAGGGTGTCATAAATCAATGTGGCCCTTCGTCTTAAATTTGTCAAAAATTCTGTTATATGCTAATTAGGTATATAAATGGGTTCCACAAGATTTAAGGGTTTTTTACCACAAATGGTTTCTGAAAATGATGCACACCATCAAGATGCTCATGAAATTGAAAATCAATCAATGTTGTCCTTGAAAATAGGTGTTGTAAATTAATGTGGACCTTCCGCACAATTCTGTAAAAAAAATTGTTATGTGCTGATGTGAGCTTAATAATTTAATAATAGTTATAAAAAAGTTGTCAAAATACTTTTTGCATAGTGACATTATCTTAAGGCAGAGATCGCCGTTTTCCGCCTCACTAGGATCACATGGAGAGCGCCCAACAAGCTCTCTAAGATGGAGGTTGTGAGGCTATCGATTGTCCAAATGTTGACGGTGAGGTCACATAAGTCGTCGCCAATCCAAGCTGTCAACAAACGTGGCCTCAATCTTGGTCCTATTCGGTGAAGGGTGTATAAAATGGTTGTCTTGATTTTTTTTCTTTTTTTTTCCAAAGAAGAGATAGTGAAGGCTACACGAGCTCACGCGCATGCGAAAGATTTTTTTTAATCACGGGCTCGACACGCTCCTTAAGATGTTTGCATGTGTTTAAAAAATAGAGAATATAATCTTTACTAAATAACTAAGTGTATTATGATTCAATAAACCAATTGCAACTTTACATAATAGGCCATAGCTCTTATAAATTGAAGGAGTTGTACATCACATCATTATTGAATGTATTAGTGTGCTAAAAATAGAAAAGAATTTGAATAGTTAGACGAACTTAAAGAATTGTACATGAGCTATTGAATTAGTGACAGAGTCTTATTCTAATAAGAATTAATTGTCGCCACTCAGTACTACGGTTTGATGGTATTTCTTTTCACTTGGAAGTGAGAGGTCTTAGGTTCGAATCTCGTGGATAGTGAATTGAATACCAAATTAAGCTACCCATTGTGTGACTTTGCTAAACTCCCCCTCCTCTTAGTGTAAAAATATTGATGTACTAAAAAAAAAAAAAGAATTAATTGTCTCTACTTTCTTCTTTGAAGCACTAAACAAAGTCAAATAATACAATAGTTCTAGCAAACTCTTTCCTGATCGAAAGCAATGGCTTGCACCTATTTTTCAAACAATCAAGCCTTCATAATTGCTTCTTCTCAATGAACATAAAAATGGATAAACAAAATCAATGTTGCAAAGAATCGATTAGTAAAAAGCAACTATATACAATGATGATTTGCCGGAGCTAGGGAAGGTAGTTGTGTTCGTCTAGTTTGAGAATTTCTCGGGCGTTGAGAGGGAGAGGTGAGGGAAACAGAGGAGACAATGGCGGAAGTAGAGGAGGAAGGAGAAGTCATGATGGCTGACAAAGAGGACCGAAAAGACTCCGCGAGAAGGAAAGAAGGGATGATACAATGTAGAATTATGAACACTTGAGAGTTTACAATCCTAGGTTATATACAATGATGATTATCTGTATCAAGTCTAGTGCTTAATTATGCTATTATCTATAATTAGGCTAATGATAATTACAAGTGCAGAAAACCATGGTGGAGAAATCAAGGTGATGAATCTGGACTGGTTTCTCTAACACTTACCATGTTGGATGGATGAAGTTGCGAAAATGAATCGACTAGTGGAGGTGGAGGGATCAAGGATAATGGTCATTTCTAACAATCTATGACCAAGAACTATCAAAAGCAACTGAAGTAATGGCATGAGAAAACTCATGGAAATTGATTCTTCCATCCTCATCCGTATCAGCCTCCTTGATAATCCCTGTCAACTCCTCTGTCGTAAGAGCGTGATCCAGTTTCACCATGGAGTGTGCCAGCTCAGTTACTGTGATGAATCCATTGCCGTGCCTATTAAACATCTGAAACAATTGTCTCAGCTGATCGTCTGTGTAAGGAGACTTGGCCGATAAAAGCTCCGGTGCTACCAGCCCTATGAATTCCAAAAACTTCACGAGGCCATTGTTGTTTGTGTCTGCCTTCTGGATCAAGGCATCGACCAACGAGCAAAGAAGCGACCCCAGTTCCAGCTGTGTTAGGCTTCCATAGTTGTTTCGATCAAACGGCCGGAATATTTCACGCAGGTCTGCGATTTTTTCGTAGTCTAGCTTCACTGGCTGCTTGTTGCTCATGACCAACTACTCAAGTTCGAGTCCCCCTCCACCCGTAGTTTAGATGAATTTAGTGTACAATATCACTTGTATAAGAAACAATGCGAATCCAAATGAGATAAAACGAAATTGCAGCTCTCTCGATTTGAATCTAAATCGAAGAAGGCGATGATGATGTGCTATTGAATTCACACTGTTGGGATTGTGGTTGTGATGATTTGTGTGAAGATTGGATCCAACATCTCCTTGAATGTCGGACTTTTTCTCTTCCTTTTTCGGTGGAATCAATTGCTGATCTTGACTCAGAGTCTTGACCCAAATATCGGATCAGTTCCAATATATGATCACCCACAATCAATTAGTAAAACAAGAAACACAAGGCACAGATCAAAATATACAAATAAATATATGAAGACAGAAAGGAAACCAATTGTTTTCTTCTTTTTTGAGTTTTATAAAATGCTGTGAAAAGGCGGGAATTACGCACCCGCGCACGTCAATCTTTGCTATCAAGGACTTTTCAAACAAGTTGGGTTGGTGTGCTTTGGGATTGGGATTTGGTTAAACTTATGTATATCATTGTGTTATTAAACCGAAATGACACAATAGTGATAAATATGTTTTATGTAAATTGTCATACTTTGGGCTTCTCCTTCAAAATATACTGCAATCATTAATAAAAAATGATTTCCGCACTCATTTTTTCTCACTTCAATTCATGTTTGTTTATATTCGTAATTCAACTTTGACTGTTGAATTTAAAGGCACCATAAATGAAGAGAGGGACGATCACTTCCGTTTACTTATGGTGGGAGGTTGATTCAGATAATTGGATTTGGTTGGTTACAGGTTGAGTCTTGGTTGGTGGGATTTATTAAGTGTAAGAATGTAATTGAACAACTGTCATAATCCTGGATGTACATGTGTTACAATCTTGTATCTTTTGGTAGTTAGAAGATTACTTAGTCATTAAGTTTTCTAGTTACTATATATAGTTAGAGAGATAACAATTGTAATCTATCTTTCACAAAGTAATGAAAATAGTTTATACACTTTCTATCTCTAAACTTTTCTCTCAGTTTCCTCTTTGCTTAATCTTCCATTGGTTTGTTAAGATGGTATCCGGAGCTTAGGTTTCAGAGGATCCTGAGCTTGGAGGAGAGAACAGGAAGAATTTTGGAGTCTCGCTGAAAGTTTCTGCAAGTTTGCATCTCTTTTTTTGCAACAATGGCGGTGATCGGTGTTAATGGCGGTGCTCGGTGACAGGGATCAAGTTTTTCTTTCCAAAAGTGTTTTTCTCTATCTACAATCGAAGTAATAGTTGTAGATCTGAAACTTGTTGCAATTTTTTAGGCACGAAGCCCTTAGTTATTGAATTCTTGAAAATTTTGACACGAAGCTATATGAATTGTTGTTGTGATGAGTTTTCTATATGTGGATTGTTAAAATTGGTGATTGCAAGAAGCAATTAAGCACAAAGCTTCTTGAAATTGTTAAAATCTTGAAATTTGGTAAAATTAGGGAATAAAGCTCTTTTGTTTGAAGATTTTCAAGCATGAAGCTCTCTGATTTGTTGCAGATTATGAGTTGTGTGGCACAAAGCCTATTACTGTAAAATTGTTTCTCTGATTCAGCATTATATTGTACTTGTTGATATGGCATCTACACATTTGAAGAATGATGGATTACATGGAATGCTTACTCTGTGTTTACAATAAGATAACTTTGCTAAGTGGTATTTTCAGTTTTGTTATGTGTTAGAAGGATATGATTTGTTTGATTACTTTGATGGTATAAATGTATGTCCTCCTAAATATGTGATTTCATTTGATGCTGGTGTTACTAAGGAGATTACTGATGCATATAGACAATGGATTAAGACATACAAGGTTTTACTAAGTCTTCTAATTGCAATATTGGGAGATGAGGCTATTGAATATGTAGTTGGGAGTAAAACAGCTTATGAAGCATGTACACATTTGTATGATCGATATGCTATTGTCTCTAGGATAAGAATTAATCATCTGAAAATTGAGCTTCATACCATCAAAAAGGGGACTGATTGTATTGAAAATTATCTTCTCAGACTCAAGCATCTTAAAGATCAGTTACTTGCTGCAAGAGAAAACATTTCTAAGAATGATTTGATTGTGGCTGCATTAGCTGGATTACTTGCAGAATATAATATGATTAGAACTGTCATTGTGGCTCAAGAATCACTTATTACTCTTAAGGAGTTTCGTGCACAACTGCTAAGTGCTGAGAGGACTGCAGAAGAGTTACCTTATTTTATTTAGTTTCCAATGTCAGGTATGTATTGTGTAGGGGAGTCTTCCAACAATGGAAATAAGAGACATTTCTATCAGGGTGAATCATCCAACACTGGAGCAAATAGACAAGTACATTATGGAGGTCTTTTAACTCAGAACGGTTCTAACTTCAATGGCAATGTTGGCTTTGTTGGTCAGTATCAAAGATCTTCAGGGTACAACTACAATGGCATTGCTGGGAATAATTACAATGGCAATGCAGGTGGAAATAAAAAATTTGGGGGTTTTAATGGTCCAAGAAACAATTATAGACCTTGGAACAATGCAGGGTATAATGGTGGCAATGGAAGCAATGGAGGCTTTTCTGGTTCCTCAGGTAGTTATCAATCTAAGAATGGTTCATCTAGTGGAGGTTCTTCTAGTAATTTTTGGTCTAACTTGAATGGCAATAATGGTCAGAGATCTAATGTCATACCTGAGTGTCAAATTTGCAGCAAACGTGGACACACTGCACCAAACTGTTTTTACAGAAATGAACAACAACCTGTCTATGGTGGTTCAATTCCAGAGTGTCAGATTTGTGGACAACGAAGTCATGTAGCACTCAATTGTTATCACATGAGGAACTATGCTTTCCAAGGTGCTAATCCACCTCTATCACTCACTGCCATGAATGCAAGTGCATTTTCTGATTTCAATGCTAATCATGCTTGGATCATGAACATAGGTGCTACACACCATATGACGGGAGATATGGCTGACTTAAACTTGGTCACACTTTTTGAGGGAGATCAAAAGATAATAGTGGGAAATGGAAAGCGTCCCCAGTGAAAAATACTAGTTCAAACTTTATTTCCACTACTTCAAAACCATTGCATTTGTTAACTGTCTTACATGTTCCTCATTTAGCTTCAAGTTATTGTCAGTTTATACACTATGCAAAGATAATAATTGTTATGTCATCCTTAACGAATTTGGCTTTTAGATGCAGGACAAGGCAACAAAGACAATATTAATGAGAGGACAAAGTAATGGGGGCTTGTATTACATTCCAAAACAGGTATTTTTCAACTATAATAAGTTGTTGCAGACACCACCAACTGCTTTTCTTGGGCAAGTAATCAAGGCTTCATTGTGGCATCATAGACTATGTCATCCTGGTAATGAGATCTTACATAGTATGCTTTATGTATCCAAGATTTCTTATAAAGTTGATGTAGAGAAACATGTATGCAAGTTTTGTCTCAGTGGCAAGATGTCTAGACAAATGTTTTCTTCTAGTTCACATGTGTCTGTAAAACCCTTTAAAAGGATAAGTAGTGATGTTTGGGCCATCACCAGTTGTATCACTTGAAAGATATAAATACTATGTTAGTTTCATTGATGACTTCTCCAAATTTACATGGATTTTTTCATTGTGCCATAAATTTCAAGTTTAGTCTGTTTTCGAGCAATTTCATGCTTTCATTAAGAACCATTTTCAAGCAAATGTGAAGTATTTTCAATCAGATGGTGGTGGTGAGTACATGAGTTTGAATTTCAATAATTTTCTTGCTTCCAATGGTATTCTACACTTAGTCTCTTACCCTTACATTCCTCAGCAAAATGGAGTGGTTGAGAGGAAACATATACATTTTATAGAGACTGCTGTTACTTTGTTGTCTACTGCCCATTTGCCATATAATTTTTGGACTCATGCTGTGTTTCTCATCAATAAAATGCCTTGTAAAGGTTTTGGTCTGCAGTCTCCATTTCTTAAGTTGTTTGGAATTCTATTAGAGTTGAAAGGGCTTAAATATTTGGTACAGTAGTTTATCCATATCTTAGGCCCTATACTTCTAGCAAATTGGATGCTAGAATTGATCAATGTACATTTTTGGGATATGCCTTAGGTTACAAAGGAGTTGTATGCTATCATAGAGATAAAAAGAGGTTATTCATCTCCAGACATGTTGCGCATGATTAAACAGTCTTCATAGTAGTTCTTATTCTTAGTGCACTCCTAAAGTTGCATCTTCACAACAGTCTTATTCTTCAGTGCACCATCCTATTTTAATTCTTATTGTTGTTCCACATGTCTATAATTCACAGCAGTCCTATGAGAGGAATAACAGTTCAATTTCAGTCCCAGCTCATGACTGATTTGAGTTCTTTAGTTTTTGCACAACATAGGGAGTTTGCAATATATTCACAGGAGATTTCTTCTTCAAGAAATCTGAATAATGGTTTTGATACTAGTTCTTCACTACAAGCCTTCCCACAACATACTTTTTCTCAAAGCTCACATACTTTGTTGCTTGTCCAAAGTCTTGCACACCTTGAGGTACATCTCTCTCCTAATAATAGTAACGCTTATGTTGTCACTTCTGCTGATTCTGCTGCTTTTCTTTCTCCAATAATTGCATCTCATCATCCTATGCTAACAAGACTTAAGTTAGGTCCCATTGTAAGGAAAAATTATAACTCTTTTGTTGCTACAACTTCTAATTGTTCTCAGTTATCTGCCAATGCTTCATCTGATATTAAGGGTTATACTGTTGTTTTAAGTATTCAAGATTTTGTGGAGCTTACTTCCTTTAGATTAGTTGTTATTCATGATCATTGGAGGAATGCAATGGTTGAAGAGTTTACTGCATTGTAGAAGTTCTACCACCTACTAACAAGAACATCATTGGTAGTAAGTGGGTTTACAAAGTCAAAAAGGATCAACATGGAAACATTTCTAGGTATAAGGCTCGCTTAGTTACTCAAGGTTATAGTAGGAGCATAGGCTAGATTATGATGATACTTTTAGCCTAGTGGTAAGACACACAACAGTTCGAATTGTTCTGGCTATTGTTGCATCAAAGAATTGGCCATTAAGACTATTAGATGTCAAAAACGCTTTTCTTCATGGAGATTTACAAGAAGAAGTTTTTATGAAGCAGCCTCAGGGTTTCCAAGATTCAGTTCATTCTCAGTATGTTTGTAAGCTTGTGAAGTCTCTCTATGGACTTAAACAAGCTCCAAGAGCTTGGAATGCTAAATTCACTAATTATTTGCCAAATTTAGGCTTTGTGGTTTCTAATTCAGACACTAGCTTGTTTATTAAGGCTTAGGATAGTGAAGTTGTGATTCTACTTCTCTTTGTTGATGATATTATCATCACTGGATCAAATACTGGTTTAGTACAGGAGGTTATTGATGCGAAAATTAACTTAACACACAAATTTAACCCTCTTTTGACAATTGTAGTACAAGTATAAGTAAGGATCGTTCTGGACCGGGGATTAGGAGGGCTTGCTAATAACCTCTAAACTGACTCAAAAACATAAAACTAAACTTAAAAACACTTAACAAGACTCACAAGACTCAAAGCAAACTTAAAATACTCAAAACAGCTTAAAACAACCAAATAAACTTAAACTAGACACTAGGAATGACTTTGGACGAAAATTGACTTTCACTTGAATCAAAACACTTCAAAACACAAGTTAAAATAGATTTGAAACACTTTAAAACAAGAAACTAAAAAGGGGGTTTTGATTTGGATGAAGTTGAAACAAACAAACAAGTATGAAAAACTAGACAGATTGTAAAATAATTTTGAGAAATAAGATGATGGATGGGATAGCTAGAGGCTTTTTCTCCACACATGACATGTATGCAAATAACTCGATTTCCAGTTACTACTTCATTGAATTATGAACAATAATGCTCCAAATTAACCGTGACATCACTAGTTAACTCTCAGATTTTCCTTGTTTTATTGGATTGGATGACATCATTCGACAACCCAAAATATTCTTCAAAAGTTCCCCACATGACATCATAGTAGAGATACAATCAAAGATCATTACGTTTAATGAAAATCATAAGCATTGACAAAGCACTTGCAACTATGACATCATGTCGCTTATGCTAGGAATTGAACTTAACGCGATCGTTTATAAGCGACCTTCACTACATGTGAATATAAGTTTGTAACGATTATGTGAAACTTCCTTATATTCTAGCAACGGATTTATGCATGCCAATTAAGTGTCGACCCTTAATTAACAAATACAAATAAGTTATCAATCAAATAGTTAAGCCAATTGCATTCATGATTCAAGAGTTCATAACTGGAATTTATCAAATTATATTGCACACATAATCATGGCATTGAAATCACCTCTAGCCAAGAGGGGTTTAGCTACTCATATTTACAACAAAACGAAAGGAAATGAATTTAAACATTAGAAACAAAAGAAAGAAAACACCTAAACGCTCCAACGATCCAAGTTAGACAGCAAGCATGTCCAAACACTTTCCTTCCCTTCCTTTGCTACGGCACAAGGTGTTGGTGAGTGTTTGAAGGTTTGTTTATATGGAGGAATGGATGTAAAGATGAATGGATGTGTTTGGATGAAGGTTGTATTGAAATTGCGATGAATGATCAAGCAAAAACTGAACTAAATTTATGTTACACACACTTCCTTTTATAGAGGAAGTGCATGGCAATAGAGGGGAACATGGAGTGGTGTAGCAATTGAGTGCAATGATGCATGAAATCTGAAATGATGGAGGGAACAAGGAATGGTGTAGCAATTGAGTGTAATGATTCAATGTAATTATGCATGAAATCTGAAATGATGGAGGGGACAAAGGTGATGATGCACGGCATGGGTGGGAATTGGAATGATTTATGGCAGAAAATAGGAAAGGGATGGCTCCCTTGCACGGCAAGGAAGAGAAATGGTGAAGGATGATATGGCTTGGACTTTTAAGGCAAGTTTAGGACTTGTAGAATATGTAATGAAATGTCCCAAAGTATTTAGAAACCTTTCGTGTGACTGAATCTTTGGTAATTTAGATTAGAAAAGATAAAGACAAGATAAGGCAAGTTTGACTAGTCTTTCCTCTTTCTTGGTGGTTTCCTTGTCTTCCTTGGTCCTCTATTTATTTTCTTCCTCTCCTTGGCACATTCCTAGCTTCTTTAGATCTTTAATTTCGTCCAACCACTTTGCTCCATGCATGTGCTATCAATTCCAAGCCCAAAACTGCTCCAAAATGCACCAAAATGCACCTTATTGCATACTTTGTCCTTAGAACCTAAAATTGCACGAAAATGACTTTAAACACTAAAACAACTAAGGAATAACAACATAAATGCATGAGAACAAGTTAACTCAGTCGCATAAATATGCTCCTATCAGTTATTGATAAATTAGGTGAAGTTTTTGATATGAAGGACATGGGTCCTTTAACTTTCTTTCTAGGTCTTCAGGTCATTTACAAGAATAATGGGGATCTATTCATTTCTCAATCAAAGTATGTGAAGGATTTACTCAAGAAAGCATCTATGGAGTCATGTTAACCATGTTCTACTCCCTGCAAACCACACTTAGCTTTTGAAGGATGAAGGGATACCTTTGGCTGACCCTACTATATTTAGAAGTTTGGTAGGTGCTCTTCAGTACCTTACCTTTACTAGACTTGATATAGCCTATGTAGTTAACTATGCTTGCCAATTTATGGCTACTCCTACATATACACATTTGTTTTTGGTCAAAAGAATCTTAAGGTACTTACAGGGAACATTGCAGTGTGGTATTACATTCTCTGCTACAGACTCTATGGACTTAACAACATATCGTGATGCTGATTGGGCCTTTGATATCAATACCAGGAGGTTAACCACAGGTAATGTTGTCTTCTTAGGCCAAAATCCAGTGTCCTGGCAATTGAAGAAACAATGGAGTGTTTCCAAGAGTTCTACTGAAGCTGAATAAAGCCTTGGCAAATGCAACTGCTGATGTGGCGTGGATTCATTTAATTCTCAAGGACTTGCATGTTTTCTTGCCTTCTCCTCCAATCTTACACTGCAATAATGTTTCTACTTTAGCTTTGTGCTCTAATCATGTGTTTCATACCAAGATCAACCACCTTGATATGGATTTCCATTTCGTTCGTGAACGGGTTCAGAAATGTGATTTACTTGTTGAATATATTTCTACTTCGAATCAGGTTGTATATATCTTGACTAAAGGCTTACATGGTCCACTGTTCTTGCAACATTGTTTCAATCTCAAGCTGGGGTTTCCCACTTGAGATTGAGGGAGAGTATTAAGTGTAAGAATGTACTTGAACATCTGTCATAATCCTAGATGTACATGTGTCACAATCTTGTATCTTTTGGTAGTTAGAAGATTACTTGGTCATTAAGTTTTCTAGTTACTATAGTTAGAGAGATAATAGTTGTATTCTACCTTTCACAAAGTAATGAAAACAGTTTATACACTCTCTAAACTTTTCTCTCAGTTTCCTCTTTGCTTAATCTTCCGCTAGTTTGTTAAGAGGATTTATTTATTATATTTAAATATTTGATACGAATAAAAATCCCTGAACAAAATAGCTCACTATATTTGTTTTGCTTCACCTTATTAGTCGAGGACTCAAGCTATTCCTTATTTTGCGTTTTTATCGTTGGCCTCTAAGCAATGCAAACTGGAAGCGGAAGCTACATCATAAATATACCATCATTTTCCTTTCGTACACGAATTAGACAAAAAAAAACGTGACTATACGTATATGACCTCGTATCCATTACACAACCGAACTGAATGTACCACGTTACTGATATAAAAGCGCGCTCCCTTCTCTAGCAAGCACAAAAAGACCACCATCCCCCCTTGAGATCCGGAGATCCTCATCAAGGTATGTAATAACAAGCCAAGACTTCGTCCGCTCACCTGGAATGGAAACCTTAAGCGGTGGCTGACCAGAAATAGTCCTAGAGATACCTGCAACAGCATCCTGCAAAGGACTGAGAGTTTGCTGGACGGGCAATAAATTGACTTTCTGCCCAAATACATCCACTTCTTGCGGGAGATCAAAGCTTGACTTAATCTCCGGAGGCTGAAAGCTGCCTTCCTTGAATTCAACCTGAGTATGTACAGAAGTAAACCAGTAAGGTTCTGGTACACATCTCTACCCATGTAATAACTTCATGTTATTCAGTCTGATTTCGAGTGCAAGTGATACCTGGATTCTTGAAGGACTTCTAACTTCAAAACTAGCAGATGCGCTGAATGAGAAACTAGCGAAAGGGCTGGACAACGTGGTGGAGTTCAAAATAGTCAAGCTGCTTGGGTTGATCGCTTGGGTTATTTTATTTACCTTCAAAAAGGGTGTACTACCTGTTGCCAGAAGTGGCAACAGCTCGGAAGATGCAGTGTACCTGATTTATAGGGATGAAAACAGATAAACAAGATCAAAGAAATAGAAACTCTCTGTTTTATGCCAAAGTACTACTTCAGAGAACGGGGAATTACATTGCTCCATGATTTTAAGGGTAAAAGAGAAACAGAAAACCATGAACCATTCAATCTTTCAATCTTTCAAAAGGACAATCATCAAATTGTTTCAAGACATCAAGGTGAAAAGCAACCAGTTATAGAAATGTTTCCATCAATGGTAACACATTGTTTCAGATACATTTGGTAGCTACCACACGTGTAGATACGTCAGCTTCCAACTAACTTGTCCACTGACTCTTGGTTCAGTTTTGGATGCACGCAAGGCTGTTAGGGTCATCCAAAACAGAAAAAAATTGAAGTTGAAAAGGGTAGTAATGAAATCTTAAAGTTGTAACTTCACTTAATATTTAAAAGAGATGAAAGATTAAGGACAACAAACTGACACAAATGTCTTTATATATACATATATTTCACATGACAAACGTTAAACTGGAATTCAGTTAGAAAAATGGAAGACCAAAAACAAGAAAATAAATAGAGTTAAAGCACATTACAATACACATTTGAAGAGTAACCCTACTATGCCACAACTTTGGACATCATTTGAAAGGTTCAATTGGTGGAAGAGAGCACCACAAAAATCAGAAACCTTCTTTAAGAGCAAACTAGTACTTAAACCAACAACCTCAGAGGAGCATGACTGTTATTTAAAAAAAAAAAAAAAAAAAAAAAAATCTTGGATGATTCCTCCCTCCATACCAATAAGATTAGAGAGGAAAGGTCAATAACAATAGCATAGTCAATCAAACGAAGAGAAAGTTGAATGAACAGAAATTTAAGCAAGTGGTATTGACTTTAGTTTGAGAGGAAAATTGCTTTTTATACCTTAGTCCAAGAGGAGAATTAATTCAATTGACCTATGACAAAATACAAAATTATTTGTTGAATTAAATCAAATTTCCTATAAAACTAATGGGGTGTTTTGAAGGATGACCATTACACCACTATGGAAAAGGAGGAGAAAAACAAAACCTATTTTTCTAACGTTTTGTAAAGAGATGCAACGACCAAGGACTTTCATGCCTAATTTCTTTGCACCCAATGCGGAAACCACCAAATCACAAACTAAAAGATCAGCAACTCAAATTGTTGCGACACCTATAAGAAACACAATTTCAATATGATTTTCAAGTCCAACCGAAAACCGAATCAGCATAGTGAAAAACAGCAAGAAAGAGAAGCACGTTCTATTACTGTATTAAAATGAAATTTGAAATAAACTTAAGATAATCAGTTCCAACTCCAACGCCTACATGTCAAGTGTGTAAAATGTTTTATGAAAACTTATGCAGGTAACGATCAGCCTAACAAATTTATAGCATGCATGATCATATTTTTAGCTTAACCAAACTATGACATGATGGAGACATTGACTAAGGCCTAGTTTGGTACTAAGGTGATTCTGAAAAAAGTGGGTATAAAAAAAAGCTCTATGACATGATGGAGACATTGACTAAGGCCTAGTTTGGTACTAAGGTGATTCTGAAAAAAGTGGGTATAAAAAAAAGCTGGGAGCTTTTTTGTATTTGGTAAACATTCAGCTTCAACTTTTTTTTATAGTTTAGCATAGTCATGTGCGAGCCGGTGCAACTGTTTATTCTCATGCTTGAGCCCTCTAATCTCCTGTTTGAGACTCATCACTTCAGCCGCCAATGATTCAACTTGGCGGGTTCGAGCAAATAGGCGTTGGGCCATATTAGACACAGAACCTGCACACTGAACACTGAGAGCCAGCGAATCCTTAACAGCTAACTCATCAGACCGTTTGGAAAGTAGTCTGTTATCTTTGGGAGTGAGAAGGTTCCTGGCCACCACCGCAGCGGCCATATCATTCTTCATCACGGAATCCCCAACGGTAAGAGGACCAGTAGGGGAGACGAAGGATGGGCGCCATATGTTGTCTGGAGAAGGCGGGGCTGCCTCTTCAACAAGGTTCAAGTCAAAACGACGGTCGGAGGGGCCAGACATTTTCAAAGGTGTTGAAGAGAGAAGAGGTCGGACAAATCAAGATCTTAGAAGTGCAAGAATGAAGCTTCTACTGGTGGAGATTCAAGTGTGCTTTAGAACTTAATGCCAGCCCCTATAAAAATCTGCACTCGACGGAGCTTCAGAAATCGAAGAGGCGCCTGCTCAGAAATCGAAGAGGCGTTTGCTTTCTCAAAAGCTGAGCTGCTTAGAGATCACGAGGGTTGATCTCAGAAATCGAAGAGGCTTTTTGCTTTCTCAAAAGTTGGGCTGCTCAAAGACCACGAAGGCCGATCTCAGAAATCGAAGAGGCGCTCGCTTTCTCAAAAGCTGGGCTCCCCAGAGACCACGAGGGCCGATCTCAGAAATCGAAGAGGCACCTATTTTTCCAGCCTTGTCAGCACCTGTCACACGCACACTCAGCTTTGCGGAAATTATGGGCATTCTGTCGAAGACTTCTGGGGAAGTAGAAAACACATGAATCTTACTGTTCAATCACCCACTTCCCACACGCAACAATAGCTCATGGGTACCACAGATAACTTTGCCAAAGTTCTCTGCCAAAGTTGAGCACGTGAAGCTTGCAGCTCCCACTACATCGCTCTGACCAAGAAGGGTAAAAGAATAGCAAAGAAACAGCACTAACAAAGTTTAGACCCATAAATTTTGAAGGTCTAGCTACCATATTATTACCCACAAGGGTAAAGGAACAGTACCACTGCTGGATAATTGGAAAGTCCCTGTGTGTCAACCTCTGTGCTTCGTGGCAAGGTAGACTAGCAAACATGCCCAACCTTTACTCACATTCGAGAAAACACTCCCAACAAGATTGCTTGCTCCAAAATCGAAGAGGCACCGCCTTCCGAATCTCGAGAGCCAGACTCCCAACATGATTACTTTCTCAAAAATCGAAGAGACACTGCTCCCCGAATCTTCGAGAGCCAAACCCCCAGCATGATTGTTTTCTCAAAAATCGATGAGGCATCGTTCTCCGAATCAATCGAAGAGGTGCTCGCTTTCTCAAAAGCTGGGCTGCTCAGAGACCACGAGGGCCGATCTCAGAAATCGAAGAGGCACCTACTTTTCTAGCCTTGTCAGCACCTGTCACACGCACACTCAGCTTTGCAGAAATTATGGGCATTCTGTCGAAGATTTCTAGTGAAGTAGAAAGCACATGAATCTTACTGTTCAATTTACCCACTTCCCACACGCAACAATAGCTCATGGGTACCACAGATAACTTTGTCAAAGTTCTCTGCCAAAGTTGAGCACGTGAAGCTTGCAGCTCCCACTACATCGCTCTGACCAAGAAAGGTAAAAGAATAGCAAAGAAACAGCACTAACAAAGTTTAGACACATAAATTTTGAAGGTCTAGCTACCATAATATTACCCACAAGGGTAAAGGAACAGTACCACTGCTGGATAATTGGAAAGTCCCTGTGTGTCAACCTCTGTGCTTCGTGGCAAGGTAGACTAGCAAACATGCCCAACCTTTACTCACATTCGAGAAAACACTCCCAACAAGATTGCTTGCTCCAAAATCGAAGAGGCACCGTCCTCCGAATCTCGAGAGCCAGACTCCCAACATGACTACTTTCTCAAAATCGAAGAGAGGGTAAAGGAACAGTACCATTGCTGGATAATTGGAAAGTCCCTGTGTGTCAACCTTTGTGCTTCGTGGCAAGGTAGACTAGCAAACATGCCCAACCTTTACTCAAATTCGAGACAACACTCCCAACAAGATTGCTTGCTCCAAAATCGAAGAGGCACCGCCCTCCGAATCTCGAGAGCCAGACCCCCAGCATGATTGCTTTCTCAAAAATCGAAGAGGCATCGTTTCTCCGAATCTCGAGAGCCAGATACCACAGACCACTTTTTCAAAGTGCTCTGACAGAGTTAAAACATGTGAAACTGACAGCTCCCACTACCGTGCTATGACCAAGCAGGGTAAAGGAATAGCATTACTACTTGTTGTTAGGGAGACGCCTATATATATGTCAACCTCCATCCCCAACGGACAGGCAGACCTGCAAAAATGCTCAACCCTTCATCATATCTGAGAGGGCACTCCCAACGAAGCCTTTCGAAATATTCAGCTTTCTTTCCCCCCGATAATACCTCTGCAAACAAGCTATACTAGAGCAAGAATATCTCATATCATCAGGGTTAAAAGCAAGAGTATCCCATATCATGCTTTTTCCCTATCTTTTCCTTTGGCCTTGTTTTTACCTGCAAGACAAGGAGAAAGAGAGCAATCAGTCAGCACTTGGAATCAAGCTTCCAGCCAGGAACTGACTGCCTGGAACCCCTTACCTGATTACTTACCTGGCATTGCTCTCGAGTACTCATCTTCAACATCTTATGTTTCCAAGGAAGATTCCGCATCTGCTTGAGGAACAGATAGGGCAAGTGCGAAGGATACAAGGAAGCATGTGGAGACAAGCGTAACAGCACACGTGCCGATACATCCATTACTCTGTCAAAAGCAAAAGTATCCCATATCAGCAGGGTGGAACGTACTCTAGATTTGATGGACTTGTTTTGACCCTCAAATTCTTCAGTCGGCCTTATACTCTGGAGGAAACCAGAAAAACCCTCCAGCTCAGTTCAAGAATAAGCCTGTGGAAAGTTACTTCTTCAAAAGCAAAAGTATCTCATATCATCTCTTCTCATTTTTCTTCTCTTTATCCTTCATGCTGTTGCAAGATGGGGAGAAGGTGAACAATCAGTCGGAGCTCTGATTGCTTACCTTGTCTGTCACCTCTTTCAGCAGACCCCCTAGCTCGGCGACTTGGGGGACTCCTACTACATGGTTTGTATCGCGCTTGACCAAGCCTGAAACTACAAGTAAGCTTCAAGTGAAATTGATACATTACCTTGTGCATCTCCACCAGTTAAAGATACCACCCCTGGATGGAGGAAAAGTACTTCCAGAGAAGATGCCACATCTACCTATGAGACAGATAAGGCAAGTCAAGACGACACCACACTCCGATACTTAGAAGTTTCGTGATTACGAGATCATTCTCCCACAATATTTCCTAAATGTCATTTGTACTAAATCATTCACTTGTACTCACTAAAGGAGAGCTTGAACCTATGTACTTGTGTAAACCCTTCACAATTAATGAGAACTCTTCTATTCCGTGGACGTAGCCAATCTGGGTGAACCACGTACATCTTGTGTTTGCTTTCCTATCTCTATCCATTTATATACTTATTCCACACTAATGACCGGAGCAATCTAGCGAAGATCACAAAAAAGCGACCGTTTTCGCTACCTAGGATCTATCTTGCAAGAGAAACGGAGAATTAGATGGAAATCTCAACCATAGAATACGAGCTGGATGGATGAAGTGTAAGAGCGCATCCGGCGTGTTGTGTGACCGTCGTAGGCCACTGAAGCTCAAGGGAAAATTTTATAGGATGGCAATAAGGCCAGCGATGTTGTATGGCACAGAATGTTGGGCGGTGAAGCATCAACACGTACACAAAATGGGTGTAGCGGAGATGAGGATGCTTCGTGGGATGTGTGGGCACACGAGAAAGGATAAGATTGGGAATGAGGATATCCGAGGTAAAGTAGGAGTAGCCGAAATTGTAGGAAAGATGAGAGAAAATCGGCTCCGGTGATTTGGACATGTGCAAAGAAGGCCGACTGACACTCCGGTTCGAAGATGTGACTACGGGACAGAGGTTCAGGGCCGAAGGGGTAGAGGAAGACCTAGGAAAACTTTGGAAGAGACTCTAAGAAAAGACTTAGAGTACTTGGATCTAACGGATGACATGACACAAAACCGAGCGCAATGGCGTTCTAGGATTCATATAGCCGACCCCACTTAGTGGGAAAAGGCTTTGTTGTTGTTGTTGTTGTTGTTGTTGTAGTACTTTTACAAAAAAGTTTACCAAACACTTTGCTGCTTTATTTCACAGTTGCTTATTCTCACAACATAGCAGAAGCAGCTTTTTTTCAAAGCCCAGCAATACCAAACCAGCCCTAATAATGATGACTAATCAGCTATTGTACACTCTTTTATCCACATTCGCCAACAGCCCTAACCCTTTTACTTCATCTTGCCTATCCACATACACCAACAGCCCACTTCTTATACACTCCCGTAACTGCACCCTTTTTTTCTTTACAAATTTTATTTAATTCATTTTTAAAATGACTTCAAATTTCCATAAGAAAACTCTTGGATATGTCACATACCACTTTTATAGAAATGCACATGTCATCTCATATTTAAAGAAGAACGAGTATTTGTATCACCCCCAGGCGGTGTAAGCACCACCAGACATTGATTGCCGTTACATGAGTATAACCATGGTATTAAATATCGATAATATCGGCGATATTTCGCCGATATTATCGTTTTTCTGAGGTACCGATATTTTCCCACATATCCGTATCATTATCGTCAAAATATCGCGATATTATCGATATTATCGATAATATCGCGATATTTTCGATATTATCGAAAAATCGTCGTGGATCCGTCGTCGTCGTCCCCCAGCTGCCCAGATCTCTCTGCAATCCATGCTCAAACCCAAGATCTGCGCCTCAACGACGCCGATTCCCCTGTCGTTGCCGATTCCCCTGCCGTTGTCGAAGTCACAACTCGTGGTCTGTCCCCACGGCGAAGCAGGCGTGGTCTTGGGTTGAAGCAGACGTGGAACAGAGACGGAGGCGAGCGCGGCGCCGGCGGGGCAGGCTCCGTGGGGAGGAGGAGAATGGGTGCCGATGTTCGCTTTCTCGCTGGCGTCGTGGTGGTGAGGGTGTGGGACAAAAAGCCGTCGTCGAAGCGGGTGGGGTGGAGGTGGACGGGGCGGATCTGGCTAATCTCGGTGACGATGGTGATGAAGCCGGAGGAGGAAGAGGAGGAGGGGAGGCGGCGGAGGGAGAAGGAGTAGGAGGAAACGAAGAGGGTTTTGCAGGGCCTTGATGCGGTGGCGGAGATTGCGAAGAGGGAGAGGAGGGCGATGAGGAGGAGGGATCGTTGACTCGTTGACGCCATGGATTACTAGCACAAAGGAAGACGGGGAGCCTCTTGTTCTCTCTGTCTTCTCTTCTTACGCTTTTCAATTGGCACTTTAGGGATTTAACCAAGTTTCAGGCCCCAAATTTTTTACTCCATTCTGATTTTAAAAGATTATAATAGATTTAAAAATTTATGAATTTTGATGAAGTTTAATAATTTTTAAAACTTTTATGTAAAATTTTAAGTGAATTCCCTCAAATTTTCAGGGAAGCGATTTGAGAATGTTTAAAATATTATGTGAAATATTTCTAATTTTTTCGAGTTTCCCAACTTTTTAAAAAATCTCTTCGAATCAATTTCTAAATGAATACATTTGGAATGTATGAATTTCTTAAAAATCATGATCGAATACCCCTTAAACTTTAAAGAATCACTTAAAATCCTTATTAAATGCCCTTAGATTTTTAAAGAGAATTAAAATGTTTATAAGCCCCAATTGGATGTACCGCTTAATTTAACTAATTGACACAACACAACAAAACCAGTTAAGATTACAAATTAACACAAAAGACGACTTGATGCGATGTCATATCTAAAAAACTTGCCGCAATAAGCCCCAATTGGTGTGCTTAAATTTCTTTCATTAATTACTACATATTTTCTACACTCACAATGTTTGTCAGCTCGCTATATAATCAACTTAAATCAGTTAAATCCATCATGCAATGCATTTCCTTCCAATTTTTTGTGATAAACTAATAGATAATTGACTAAATAAACATCCTGCAAAGTTTCAATAAAAATTTCCAAGTTTTTCTTACAATTTTCGTGGTTTCCATGTAATTTTTATCGATATCGATATTATCCCGATATTTCCATCGATATTTCCGTGTTTTCGGACTACCGATATTTCCGATATTACCGATATTTTCTTCCTTGAGTATAACACAAATCTCGATATCTAAGTCATCTAACAACAATCAATGCGACCACCACTTAAGGGTGGTAAGCAAAAATACACTGGTCATAGGAAATGCATTTCTTTGTTAACCATGTTTCACTAATCTTTCCAAAACGACTTCAAATTTGTATAACGAACTCTGTATGAGTCAAATGGCAATTTGGCCACATGCAAATTTCATATCATTTCTAAAGAATTGTGTTATTGAGTTCAAAAATGTCATTTGAAAATTAAAATCCATCTAAGTGTCGGTAATTTTAGTTTTATGCGTGCACTAATAGTATAACACAAAAATTGAACTTACAGCAAAACCCAGTTGCCATCAAGAAGGCCCAGATTCTCCGTCGGAGCCGGGTTGGGATTTGCCGCCTCCAACTGACTTACGAACTCCATAACCTCCGCTCTCACCTCAGACCCAGCCCGAAACCCAAATTCAGTCCCATAGACCGTGTCTACCAAACCCCTCCTGAGCTCAGTAAGCTTAGTGTCCACCTTCTCCTCAATCGCAACCTCAGCTTTGGCTGCACTTCCATTCCCAACTTCCACAACCTCATCTCCTCCGCCTCCCCACTCGTCCTCATTCTGCGGAGGGTCCGATTCGGAGATTTTGGACAGCGGCTCCAGCTCGGGGTCGGTCTTCTCGCCCCACTCGTCGGTGATATTGGTGGGGCGGTCGCCATCGGTGGGGGTGTCGTCGGAAAGAGAGGAACGTAGGCGGAGGGAGGGGAGCTTATGTTTAGGGTTTGGGGAGAGGAGAGAGAGAGATTGAGAATTAGGGGTTGGAAATGAGGATGGGGAATTGATGAGGGTTTTGGAGAGGAGAGAGGAGTGTGAGGTGAAGATCAGAGTGAGAGCCATTTCTTTTCCTCCTTTCTTTTTCTTTTTCTTTTTCAAGTATTTTGGCTTTTGTTATTTGTTATTTGGACTACCATCTCTGCTATTTTATGCAACACGTCATCTGCTATTTAAACCTTACAAATTTACAAAGAAATATTGTTGGATCCACTCTTTTAACCCAATTGAAACAATAGACACTCAATTTTAATCCAATTGTAGCAATGATTCTTTCAACATGACTCATTATGACGGAATTTCTAACGGAGTTGACGCAAAAGACCATATAGCTAGACGTTTTGAAAAGTTAAGGGACCAATAGTTGTGAATTTTTAGTTAAATGACCATTGCTCTAATTGAGTTAATATTGAAAGATCATTGCTATAAATTTTTTCTTTATTTATTGAACAGAGACAGAAGAATATTTTTTTGTTCAAAATGGAAGACAAAATATTAGAGAAGGAATTTGTATTTGGGGAAACCTTCAAAAGCCAGAATCTAAAGCGTGTTGTTATGAGCTTATCTTAAAGTGTTATTAGCAGAGAGCATATACTTTGTGTGTAAACAATTTCTCTTATTAAGTGCATATTTTTTTAATATTACATAATTACTGTTTTGTCCTCCTTATATAAATATTGTGTATCAAAAGTGAGAGTAAAATTGGAAAAATAAATATATGATTGTCATTTTCTAAAAAAAAAAGAGGGTAAAATAGGAAAAATAGGAATATGATTGTCATTTTGTCAAAATGTATAAAATTACTATTTTGCCATCATTTTGTCAATCGTTTGTATCAAAAGTGAGGGCAAAATTGAAAAAAAAAATGGGAAAAAAGTTGACAAGGAGGGTTTTCTTAATAGAATAGAATTATGCCCAAAGAGTCTTATGAGACTTTTCTAGAGTGTTAATAACAACTATGATTTTAAACATGATTTTTCCCCATCAATTTGATGTTAATTCATTCGATGCAAGTAACTTGTAGTCCAATTGGTAAAGAGCCTTAGCCCTTGTACCAAGGTCTCATATTCGAATCTTCTTTCTGGTAATTTATATGAAGGAGTGTTGACTATCCTATCATTTGAAAAAAAAAAATTAGTTCATAGGAATTAGCTACATTCACACAAAACTACTCTCCTAAGGTCCTCATTTTGAGAACATGTTAGCTCTTTTTTCATATGAGTTCTTAGATTAATCTTATAGTATCCAAATAAGGACTCACAGATCCTTAAAATGAGAGCCTTAAAAAAGCAGCTATGTACATTCGCACTCGTATCAAGTATGTCAATTGGGTAGTAGGCTTGAACTCAAAGTGATACTACATAAAGCTACGACTTTCCCTAACCACAATGCACAAAAGCAACATGTGACGCATTATTACGTGACCATCTAGTAACGATCATCTTCCCATAATCGCTTCCATGAAAGTGGTATTAAATCTTCTTATGTACCACCGTCACTACATCTTTATCGATCGTATTCCAAAACTTTTAATACAACTTACTTATTACTATTAGGGGGCGTTTGTTGCGCCGGACTATCTCGGACTGGACTAGCTTCAAGGACTAAGCTGGACTGGCTTAGACTAGACTAAGCTGGACTAACTTAGTGAAGCGTTTGATGCAGTGTTAGACTAAAACTAGATAATAACAAATTCTAATATTATATTATTTAATATATAAATTATTAATATTTTATTATGATCGAGGTGACCGGAGATGACGAGGAGTCTATCGGGAGTGGTTGTTGAGCATGACGAGGACGAGAGAGGATAGTCTTAGCTAGTCCCATGGTTATTGGGGGGGTCTCACTAAGACCTCTTAGTGAAGGGTTTTGTCCATGCTAGTCTCCTTTAGTCTCATTAATGTTAGTCCCAGCATGGAACAAACACAGTATTGGACTAACAGCTAGTCCAGTCTAGTCCAGTCCCACTTAGTGAGGGCAAACAAACGCCCCCTTAGTGAATTCAGTCGTCCTTGGTGACTTTATAGGGTCGTCTGTGTCATTTAATTTTCAATCTCAAATCAAATGCACAGCAACAATTCCCTATACGATAGTACATTACCTTGGAAAAGGATGATTGTCGGATTATTTTTTAAGGAATCCGGGAGATTCTGTGATCGTGATCGTGACCGTTCATCGTATATTATGCGGTCAGCTTTCATTAGGTACTATTTGTATTTAATTTTAAATTTTAAATTTAAAATGATTTCTGACCGCAAGATGTACGATGAACGGTCATGATCACGGAATCCTCCGGATCTCCAGGAAAAAGATACTGCAAGGATTCTTTTCCCATAACCTTTTCTGCTCTTCAATCAAACTAAATGAAAAGTAAATGAGACAAAGAGGCAAGCAAAAACTTTCACGTGCCTTATTTCCTCAGTTTGTGAGAACGAGGCTCAAAGCATTCCGAAGAAAAGCAAGTATATGACAAATACCATGTCACCGGAAAACGCACGAGCACGTCGATGGAACGACACAACTAGAATTCTAAAATTAGCTCAGTCTAATTCAATCTTATTTAAGCATGTTATTCTTGATTTTATGAATTTGTTTCATTTGAATCAGTAGCTGTAGTCATTTCAAGTCTACATGAGATAAGAACTAGTACTCGTCAAGAAATTATAATCAATATGCTTGTGCAGTGTTCCATAAAAAGTTAACAAAATATAAGCAAGCATAAATATAACAGTTTACAAAAGCGTGACAAGGAAATTAGTGAGTCTTTGGATGGTGGGAAGTAATAAGCAGAAACACCGGTAGTAATGGCCCTAGTTCAACGGACTTCAGCGATAGCACATGAAACATCAAGGACGGGCAGCGTCATGGTGATGTCTCAAAAGGAAACCTTGATTAAGATGAAAGTGTCAATTTGGCAAAACCCTGTGATTTTTCTCGTAAGATTTTATTTTGCATGAATATGAGAATCTAAAATAGAATAAGAGAAAAATTGAAGCGCATAGTCGTTGCAAAGAGGAGATAGCTAAAATAAAATTAAAGAGAGAAGACCCTTATCTTTCAATTCTTCTAGTTGGTTCACTATAACAACATCATGATGATGAGGCATGCAGCTCACGATTTTGAAGAGGCATATGTAATCGCTAACTTCCTCTCGTTCCCTTGTATGCCTTGACTTTTTCGTGAACTTCTTTAATTTGATTAGCATGAAGATTCTATATCACTTGGATATAAAATTGGTTATGAAGCTTGTTTTGGAGTTTTTCGGCACCTCAGTGCCATGAAAGCATTGATATAATCAAGCACCCATTAACTCTTTCATAAGATTGCAATTAGCTTGGCAATATAGATCTAAGTTACAGATAAAAGGGACATTGAAAGAAATATTTGCATATGATTGTTTGGAAAAAGAAATTACCAAAACAAAACTGAAAGGGAGGTGCTCTTATCTTTAATTTTCTTGGTAGCTTGTTCATCAAAAATTTGTGAAGGAAGGGAGCCACTGTAAGAGTAATGGCCTAGTCCCTAGTCAAGTCGCCATTTATGTTAGGGGGTTTTGTGTTGAAAGCTTTGATGGGCATATGAAATTAAAGAGGCGAGCCAAAACTTTCACGTTCCCCATTTTTTAGTTTGTTTTTTTTTTATATTTATTTTAATCAACCCCATAATGTTATTAAGATAAAAATAGAAATACAAATGAGGGGGACATAAAGCCAAACCTCATTGATGGAAATAACATACCAAGTAACACAATACGGGAACCCCACTTACAAAGAATACATATGAAAAAAAATCATCTGAAACGATAGTTGGTAGAAGCAGAAAGATCATGAATATAAGTAGACACTGCACATGAAGGAACGTTGGACTCCCAGTAATATGCATCGTGATCTGCACCAAAGTTAGCGAAGGCATCGACTACATAGTTGCCCTCGCGAAAAATATGGGAAACAAAAACATGCATATGCCTAATCTGCCACAAGCAATTGCTCCAATCAACATGCAAATAACAAGGAATAATAGAACTAGGAAAGTTTAAGTAGTGAATCACTGTAGTTGAGTCCGTCTCCAACCAAGTGTGATGCCATTCACACACCCAGGCAACTTGAATAACCTCAATTATAGCAAGAACCTCAGCTGCAATTGAACTACAAAAATTCATGGATGACACAAAAGCACCCAAAGCAATACCTTGAGAATCTTGAAATACACCACCATAACTTGCATGGCCTGTAGCCTTGAATGGCCCATCAACATTTACTTTGATCCACCCCACCCTAATGAAGTGCTCCCCACAACTATTGAGGTGCTTCTCACGGCTGTTGAGGTGCTTCCCGCAGTAGTTGAATATTTCTTTCCCTTATGAAGTGTTTCTGATAGCTTTGAGGAAGATTTGTTAAACTAACAAATACTTGGAGTTACAACAAATAGGCTTGGCATGAGAGCTTGAGGTGTGAGAGCTAAAGAACGAAAGGTTTAGCAAATGAGATGGCATAATTTGTTTTGGTGTAGTTAGGCCGAGATTTAGGAGAATGATTTGTAAGAGACCTTGGTAGTGGTTGAGCATGGTGGTTGGTTGATGTTTCTAAGGTAGAAGATGAGTGGTGAAAGGAGAAAGCTTAAATATAGAGTTTATGTATTACTGGAAGGCTTACAACAATCAAGAAGGGTTTTTGCTACATAAAGAGGGATTTTCTGCAGTAGAGATAGAGGTTTCATGAAGCAAGAAGAGAGGTTTCTTGCAGTAGGGGAAATGGATTTCTTGCAGCAAATTGAAGATGTTCTTTTTTAGGCATGAGGTTGAAAGGACATGTTAGAAAAGGTTTGGCTTATAGATTTGATATTTTTGCAGTACATGAAGGAAAACATTGGAGATGACACGCCAGACCCTGATATTCCCTGAACATCAGGGTAGGCACGTGCTGGTACAAAGCCATATTAGAAAGCATGAGAACAACGAATATAAATAAAAGTTATGAATTAAAATACAATGATCATGCAAATGAGGAACGTGTTCAGAGTATACAATTTAACTAGAACACTAAAAGGAAGAATATAAAATTGAATGAATAAAAGAATGGGTCCCACACCGAGAGAACTCGAAGATGCCAA